TTTTTGGAGTGATACAAATGACACAAACATGAGTTTCTAGAAGTGTGGTTTCATTAAATTATAATGACATGGTGACATGATATTATTTTTTAGTACATTGTTATCATATTAATATTTACTATTAGATGTGAAATTGGGTGGCAATAATCATTCCATTGACCAAACTCAAACTTCAGAAAAAAATTTCCTGAACTTTGTGACACATCCAAGCTATCAAGTTTCGCATCAAATGGTTGTAAGGAATTGCGACAACCTTGTATAAAAAGGAAGTGGTCTCATTGTATACAATCCTTATATATATATGGGAAATGCTGGCGTTAGCCCACTAGCTAACAGCTACAGTATTAGCCAACGACTCAGATTGAATCTGAGCCCGATCCAATGGTCATAATTGTATTTCGTATTTAAATTTTTACTTTTCTTTTTACAAATCTAAATTATTTAAAATTTTGAGCTTCTATTTTTTTAAAAATAGGAGAATCCAATAATATAAATATAAATATATATATATATATATATATAGGAAAATACTACGCAATGTCTATAGGCGAAAATGAACAATGATTTCGCCTACCCCCATCACTGTCAAAAGTTCATCGCGCAGACATGATTGTCCTGTAGTGTTTCATTTTTATTTATTTTTTTACAAATCAAAATGACCTAAACTTTGGAGCGTGTATTTATAAAAAATAGTGGAATCTTTTAAAATTATAAAAAGAATATTTTACATGAAAACAAGTGACCAAGATACCCCCGAAACGTTTTAGGGGTATTTTGGTTAATTTATTTTTCAGGGAAAATATTTTTTATATTTTTATTAGATGAGTCTCAGTGAGATGTACATACCCTCCAAATTTCAGATCATTCTCATTTATAGAAAAAAAAATGAAAAATAAAAAACTACGGGAGAATTGTGACCGTACGATGAAATTTGGACGGTGATGAAGGTAGGCAAAATCACTATTCATTTTCGCCTATAGGCATTGGAAATATTTTTCCATATATATATATATATATATATATATATATATATG